TGTTCTAAGCCCAGTGAGACACGGGGGCACCTGGGGTCTCCGTCAGTGAAGCGTCCGACTTCGGCTCAAGTCACGATCTCGAGGCTCATGGGTTCGAGCCCCACGTCGGGCTCTGTGCTGACGGCTCGGAGCCAGGAGCTGCCTCGGATGCTGCGTCTCCTTCTCTCTCCGACCCTCCTTTGCTCACGCTCTGTCTCTAAACATTTACTTTTAATTTTCTAAATGAAAAAACACATGAACACAGTGAGCCACTGGTGTGGCACCTGGTTTACAGGGTGTCACCGTCCTGCCCTGGCCCCAGCAGCCTTCCCTGCCGACGGGTCGGCGACAAGCCGGCCCAGGTGGCCCCACAGCGGGGTCCTGGGCCAGCAGAGTGCGAGCTGCGTCCGGCACCCTGTGTTTCCAGGCCGGGGGGCGGGGATGGGGGGAAAGAGCCAGAGTGGGCGTGGCCAGGCGTTCACACTGAGTGTTCCTGTGCCTCGTGCCGACTGTGCCGCGAGCGTCTGGTGCCTGCTCGGTCCTTCCATCCTCGGCGAGCGTATGTCCACCGTGTTGCACGCTGTTTGCTCGTTCACCTGCTCTCCTCGTGTGTTTTCTCATGTTTTCTAGCACAGGTGGGCTTTCGTAAACAACACGGTGCCGTGCGCCGTGAATGGGGGGCGAGGTGACAGGCGGAGTCGGGATTTCCTCTGTGGCTCTCAGGGCTGCCCCGGGTGGGGACGGGCTCCCCCAGCTGCCGCTCTGGCAGGAAGCGAGTGGGGATCCGTGGCGGCCAGGGGACAGTCCCCGTGTATGTCCCACACAAGCCTGAGTTTCTGGCACGGTCCCCACATCGGACTGTGAGTCAGGAGGGTCCTGACTTGGGGTCTGCGGGACAAAGAGGCAGGAAGTTCGGGCCCTCTGGTGTGTGGCTGCTGGTGGACACGGGAGAGGGGGGTCCACAGCCACGCAGAGAGCTGAGAGGTCCCACTGCTTCGGCCCCGACTCCCGGGCACTACGGCTCGGCCCCAGCAGGTGGCCTCCAGGACAGGTGGACTCAAGGTGAGCGCCCCCCCGGGAAGGGGGGTGATGCACTGGGGTCTCACCAAGAAGTGTGGGGTGCGAGGTCAGGACGTGCTCACGCTGGGAGGGGCTGAAGACCCCTTCTCACAGGGGCAGACATCTGGCACATGGCCTGCGAGGGAATCATCAGAATCGGTGCGTCTTTACTGGACTCGCCCACTTTACAGATGGGGAGCTGAAGTCAGGGTGAATGGAGACCCTGTAACCAGCAGTGATGGCCAGTTTCAGAGGAGAAGGGGGAAGGGAGGGGGCTTCTAGCCTTCTCTACCCATCCAGTGGCAGAAGGAGCCCAGAAAGAAAATGCTAGAAGCAAACAGCTGCCCGAGGGGCCCGGCAGCCCCCGTTAGGGTGCCAGGCCTGTGCTAGGCACTCCGGGACGCGTGAGGTGTCGGCCAGCCGTGCGGGAGCCCCCCAGCCCCAGGCTGAGCCCTTCCCACCTGCAGACACGGTCTCCTGTCCGCGTCTTCCCTCCTTCCGAGCCGGGTGCCTCTCTGTCCCCTCGTGTGCCTGACACCCTCTCTCTCCGCTTTAGCCCTTAGCAGCGGTCTGAGCCGGGAGAGACCGAGCGCATCGCTCGGCTGATTTCCGAGCACCCGGTCTGCTCTCTCCTTGGACTCAGCAGTCTTCTCTCTTGCTTCCAGGAAATCTTTCTCATCTTAGATTATCACGCATTTTCCTGAGTCGTGGCAAAACCCCACCCAAGATTTTATAAAGCGTCTGCCTTTCGGCAAAGTTTCCTTGGAGGGTCCCCTTCCTGCGTCTTCAGGAAGGTCTCCAAACCACGTTGCCTTTCCAGGCTCCGTGGGTTTCCAATGTTTTCTCGTCCTGAGAAGCAATCCCCACTCGATAAAGGTGGTTTGCTTAGCCGTGGATATTTCCAACCCCAGGGGCATTTCCAAAGAAGGCCCTTAAAGGACAGCGTCTGCACCCCTGACAGAAAGGCCCCCGGGAGTGCCCGTGACATCCATGGGGGGAACGCGCGATTACCTCCCGAATGAGCTGGGCACCGCACAGCATTCTGGGCCCATGAGGCACGGACTTCATTAAATATTTGCAAAAGCGCTGTGAGGTGAATCTTGATATTTCCATTTTACAGCTGATGAGACCGAGTACCTGGTCTGATGCCACACAGGAAACAGGCTGACAGGTGTCATTTGATTCCAAGCCTCGTGTCCTGCCCTGTTGTGTGACGTGTTCTGGCCGTGACAACCTCTATGAGCTGCATTCGTATTTCCTTAGATTTTTTTTTTTCGTGGAAGCCCATCTCGATGATTCCCAGGCTTATCCTTTTAGCAACGTCACGTATGAATTTGCTCGTTCAGGTACCCTTCTGATCATATCCCACCAGAACACAGGCCACTTAGGCAGCCTGCTCCCCGTGTATAAGAGCGACCAGAGAAGATACGGTCACCAGCGCGGAAGGACTTGGGGCAAACAAAACGTGAGGAAGGAAACCTAGGAGGCCCGGCGGTAAATGCACTTGCTGTGTCCCTGCTGGAGCAAGCCGTACACCTGATCCCAGGCGTCTCGCGGCCTTGACAGAAAGGAAAGTGTGGGTACAGAGGTTCGCGGTGTCCAGAAATGGAAACCACCGCTGCCCCGGGGCGGTCATGATGGAAATGCACTGCAAGAGCGAGAGAGCGCCCTCCTGTGGCCTCGGCACCCAAGGGCGCTGCTGGCTCCCACCGCCCCGGGAGAGGCCGCTGACCTCCAGCCCCCGCTGCCCCAACCTCAGGTCCCTGCCCTCAGGCCCCCGCGGCCTGGTCGGCTGCACCTGACACCTGCCCGAGGACTGAGCCGTGCTGCCTCCAGATCCAATGCGGAAGGTCCCAGAAGAAGAGTGGAATCGCTTCAACTCAGATTCCCTGCCAAGCAGAAATCACTTCAGCCGGGGGTGCAGGACTCCGGAAGGTCTGGTCCAGGACACCTCCCCAGCCCTGCGGGTCGTACTTTTGGGGAAGTACCTGAAGTCCAGCCATCTGCTGCTGGCTAGGGACTGACCTTGATGCTTTAATAGGCAGCCGGGTGGGAAGTCAGGGAGGGTGTGAGCTGCCCTGAGAGACAGAGCTGCTAAGAAGCCCCCAGGCTGGGGTTCAGGCTTCATCCTTCCTGGCTCTCAGGAGCCAAGGGAGGGGAGAGCGCCTGTGCCTGCTGCCGGGAGAGATGACTGGTAGGAAAAGTAGGACTTTCAGACAAAACAATCAGACTCTTGGGGACATAATCAGTGGTTTGTTTACGTGTGTGGACTCTGGCTCACGGGGGCTCATTAGGGGCCGTACGGTCCCTGATTTTGATTTGTGAGTTCATTTTCTGGAGGCAGGTATCTGTGAAGATCTCGTAGGGCCTGGTGGAGAACCACAGCCTGTGACAGCTCTGTATCCCCTGTCTGGGGTCCCCAGACCACAGCGGTGGCACTTGCTTGCGTTCCGGAGCCCCTCGGAGAGCAAGCAGTGTGTTCTCGGGGGTGCTGAGCTCCCCTCCCGCAGAGCCTGGGTTAAAACGGGGAACCACCCTTCGACAGATTTTGGGTAGATTTTTCGAGGCCACCTTCCAGGGTCTCAGCCTTCGTGGGGGTCTCACTCCGGCTCCCTTCCCCACAGAAACCCAAGACGCTCGGTATCTACGAGCAGCCGATGCCCCAAAGGCACATAAACCATCAGCTGGTTTCCAGATTTCTCTGCAGTTTTGACCTCTGGGAATCCCCCTTCTAGCTTTTTTGTGCTTATTTGGTTTTTACTGAGATGTAATTCACGTAACACACAAGTCAGCATCTCCGCCCTGCAGTTTAGCGGGTTTTGGCGCATTCACTAAGTTGCGTGAGCTTCAGTACCGCCTCATCGCAGAATGTGCCCGTCACCCCTCAGCAAACCCCGCGCGTGCTGAGGGCCGCTCCGGTCTCTGCCACCCCCACCCCTGGCGGCCAGCAACCTGTGCTCCGTGTCTGGACGTGGCCATCTGGCACACTTCCCATAAACGAAGCCCTACAACACGCGGACTTTGTTTCTGGATCCGTGCACTCGGCCTGTCCCGACCCCGCCGCACAGGAGCACCTGTCAGGACGCCAGTCCTTCTCGCAGCCGAGGGATGCTCCGTGCGGACAGACTCCACTGGCTTGTTCCGTCACCGGCTGGCAGACCACGTGTTGTTTCCCCTCCGGGGCGGTTTGAAGAGCGGAGCCGTGAACGCTGGTGGACAGGTTTCTGTGTGAACAGACTTCCCTTTTATCTTGTGAGCTCAGCGACACGTGCTTTGTAAGCTGGCCACGGGTCGTCCAGTGCGTCTGGGGGTTTTCTGACGTCGGGCATGTGGGATGCCGTCCGGAGGAGGCAGCATCTTGCAGGGGGTCGTCCTCCGCACAGGAGGCCCGCGGCCCTTCGGCGCCCCGTCTGTCCGTCCGCCCTCGGCCGTTGCACGTCGGGGAGACGGTGCCGGGTGGGCTCCTGAGCTCAGACCCCGTCTCCCCGCGGTCCTCCCTCGCCCCGCAGGTCGGACGCCTCCCTGTACTGCGATGACGTGGACATCCGCTTCAGCAAAACCATGAACTCCTGCAAAGTGCTGCAGATCCGCTACGCCAGCGTGGGCCGGCTGCTCGAGAGGCTGACGGACCTGCGTTTCCTGAGCATCGACTTCCTCAACACCTTCCTGCACTCCTACCGCGTCTTCACCACCGCCGTCGTGGTCCTGGACAAGCTCATCACCATCTACAGAAAGCCCATCAGCGCCATCCCCGCCAGGTGCGTAGGCCGCCCCCGGGGACGTCGGGGGGACCGCAGACGTGACATGTTGAGTGCACGTGGGCACCTCCCGGGGCCGGGGGGCTGTCTCTTCCCCACCCTGGGGGGCTGACCGCCCCAGCTGTCTCTCCCCCGCCCTGGGGGGCTGACCGGCCCCCCCAGCTGTCTCTCCCCCGACCTGGGGGGCTGACCGGCCCCCCAGCTGTCTCCTCCCGACCTGAGCCGCCCCAGCTGTCTCTCCCAGCCTGGAGGCTGATGACCCCCAGCTGTCTCTCCCCCCGCCTGGGGAATGACCGGCCCCCCGGCTGTCTCCCAGCCCTGATCTGACCGACCCCCCATTCTCCCAGTTTGGGGGGGCTGACCCGGCCCCAGCTGTCTTCCGCCTGGAATGACCGCCCAGCTGTCTCTCCCCCGCCCTGGGGAGACTCAAGGGCACACGTTGCTCTCTGCTCCCTGCCCGCACCTCTGCACTGCCCTCCTGGAAGCACAGGGCCGCCTCTCTGGAAAAGCCGGTGCTCCCCACCTTCCCGTGTCAGAAAGAAGGGGAACGGGAAGAGTAACGAGGGTCAGGGCAGCGGAAGGAGGCGGACAGGCAGAGACTCCCGGCCCGTCCCTGCCAGGACCTGCTCTGGAGGGCGGGGGCACACTTGGGCTGGCGCAGCACGCGGAAGGCAGGCCACCCTCCCGCCCCCAGCTCAGCCCGCCGGGACCCAGAGAGGCCAGGAAACTCTCCCCAGAGCCCCTAGAAGTGCAGGCCTGAGTGGGGGCCCGAACCCAGGGCCCTGGGCTTGTCGGGGACGCCCGTGACCGTGTCTGTGTGAGTCTGTGTAGCAGGCAGGGGGCCTGCCTTTCCCTCCTCTGCCCTGCCCTGCCCTGCTCCACCCGCTGGCACCGTGAGCCCCGGGTCCCTGCCGGGGGAGGACCCTGAGGGCAGGCACAGCCCGGGTCACAGGGTCAGCACTTGCCGGAAGAGCCGGCCTCGGAACCGCGGTCACGGGGCCCACCTCAGGGCTGGGCTCGCCTCTCCGCTCTGAACTTCCGGAACCCCAGCAGTCAGCTTCCAGGGGCCCCGGGAAAGCCGGACAAGCCACCCCGTCCAGGCTGGGACACGTCCTCGAGCTGAGGAGGTCATTCCTGGGGGCCCGGAGGTCTGTCCTGTGCAGAGCACAGAGCAGATACGTCCCACGCGTGTGTCACCCGCTTCCAGCCTGGCCCTGAGCCGTAGAGGCACGACCAGGGTTGCTGGGAGACCCGCTTTCCACGTCCTGCCCCGGGTTTGCCCCAAGGCTGGCCGAACGCCCTGGTGGGGCACAGAGGACACGGGGTTTGGAGCCTCATCCTGTCTCTGAGTCTCAGCCTCTCCATCCCTAACCCCCTCAGGACCTGTGTGAGGGTGAGGTCAGAGCACGAGGGGTCACCAGGCCCGGGTGGACAGCGCCTCACCTCAGACCCTGCTGCTGACCAGAGGGAAGGCGCGAGGGGCGCCCGTAGACCCGCCGTGCCATGGAAGGGCACACCCCTGCCCAGACCGCGAGACGGGACGCTTGCACACGCACATACCTGTTCACAGCCCGTTTCGTCACACCGCCCCTTGGCCCGTGTCCGTGCAAGTGCACCTGCTCGGGGGATTGGCCCGGGTGTCAGGGGTCCCGAGGGTGTCTCCCGAAACTGGCTTCGCCTCTGGGGGCCTGAGCCAAAGGACACACGCAGCCAAGGAGTGGGAAAAGGAAGGGTTTTCCTCAGAACAAGGAGCGAGAACAGCAAGGGTGTGTCCCAACGCTGTGTGCCCCCCACAAAAATACTGGGAAGTTTTAGGCTGAGGGCACACGCACGTTCACGGGGTGGGGCTCGCCCGGGCAGACTTGAGCACCGAATCGGGGCAAAGTTGTTGGGAGCCACCAGAGCCCAGGCCAGAGCTGAGAGACGTCCCAAGGCCGGCAGGGTCTGGCACCCTCGATTCCGCTCCTGGTGATCCTGGCGTGGGTGCTCCCGGGGGCTTAAATCCTGCAAACACGAGTCAGGAGCGTGCGTCAGGCCCGTCCCTCCGTCCAAACGAGCACCAGGAGTTGTACCAGCGACTTATCATCCCTGAGACGACACCGTCCCCGGCCCGGCGGCATCTATCTGTCCCTCCCTTCTCCTCCCTTGAAATCGTGACGTCCCAGGGCGTGTCCCGCCATCGCGGTGCCTCGCAGGTGGTTCTGGGAGGAGCGTCCCCAGAAGAGAGGTGCCGGGCGCCCCGGAGGCCGGGAGACCCCAGGCCTGGGAAGGCGGCCGGGCCCGCTCTGACCGTCTGCTTCCGTCCCCCGCCCGCCCAGGTCCCTGGAGCTCTTGTTTGCCAGCGGCCAGAACAGCAAGCTTCTGTACGGCGACCCCCCCAAGTCCCCGCGCGCCACGCGCAAGTTCTCCTCGCCGCCCCCCCTGTCCATCGCCAAGACGTCGTCGCCCGGCCGCCGGCGGAAGCTGTCCCTGAACATCCCCATCATCACGGGTGGCAAGGCCCTGGACCTGGCCGCCCTCAGCTGCAACTCCAATGGCTACAGCAGCCTGTACTCGGCCGTGTCGCCCTTCAGCAAGGCCTCGCTGGACACCAGCAAGCTCTACGTGTCCAGCGGCTTCGCCAACAAGATTCCGGACGAAGGCGACCCGGCCGCTGAGAAGCCCGAAGAGCCCTCGGCTCTCAGCAAGCAGAGTGAGTGGGCGTGCGGGCTCCCCCAGGGCGGGAGGGACTCGGGGGTCCCGGCCAGATGCTGGAGGCGGGCAGAGTCTGGGCAGGAGGAAGCCGGCAGACAGGCAGGCAGAGACCCCCAGGGCGTGGCTTCATCCTGCGTCTGTCTGTCTGAGGGCGGGTCCCGGATCCCGGACCTCTGTCAGGGCCCAGGAAGGAAGGGGTCACCGGACCCGGCTCCCGTCCCCTGGGGTCCACAGCGAGCTGAGGAACAGGACCCCACACGGAGATGTGTGCACCTGATGTGTTGTGCTGGAGAGATATCCGAGGGGCACAGGGAGTGGGCTGGGGACGCCGTCTGGAGAGTCAGAGAAGGCTTTCTGGAAGGCCCACGATGTCTGGACTTTGGCCAGGAGGAGGGGGCACGGTCTAGGCAAGGGAATGCAGTGGACAGGACTAAACGAGGAAAAGCATTGTTTGCTCAGGAGCAGCCTGAGCCCAGCACAGCTGGAATGCTGGTTGTGGGGCAGCACAGAGACCAGGGGCACAGGCCGGCAGCCCCCTCCTCTTAGAGCCCTCCGGACCATTCTGGAAGGCATCTGTTTGGGTGGCTGGTCCGGTTCAGCTCGGCGCCCCCAGCGCTGTCTTGGTTAGCACGTTTGTGCCTGTCACATTTGGAAATTTGACATAAAACAGGCATGCATGCGCACACCCCTGGGCCGGCCGGTCCCTAGGCCCTGAGGAAGGGGCCTTCGAGAAAGACTTTGAGGGTGGTCCGGATTCCTCTCCTGTGCATCAAGACGGGGGAGGCAGGGAGCGGCCCCGGCAGGGACAGGCCCCGGCAGGGACACAGCTGGGAAGGGAAGCTCCCAGAAGGCTCTGTCACCAAGTGACATTTACCGTGATACATACAGTAAATGGCTCATGGGTGCGTCCGAAGGTCTGTAACCGAGGGACAGCCCGCTAGAAAGCCCCAGATGCCATCCTGTGGGGGCAGAGGACAGGGTGACCATCTGACATCAACCCTCAGTGAGTCCGGGCCTCCCGCATTTGGAAACTTAACATAAAACAGTCCTGAAAGGTGATCTCGTTCCTGACCAGTGACAGAGGGGCCCCAGAACCTAAGTGTGTACCAAAGTGTGTGTGTGTGTGTGTGGACATTTTCTTAGGGTCTGTAGCTGACTTGGTGTCTCCGGGGCCTCCCCTCCCTTCTAAGGTCTCGCTCACTGCAGCTGGGGAGACCGAGGACCAGAGAGGCGAGGGTACTTACCACGATGGCTGTTCCTCAGCTGGACTTTAATACGCTTCATCCCTTTTCCCCAAAGTGTGTAACCCTGGAACGTCTTGAGTCTTGGGAGACGAACTTTGCACCAAAACGGGACGCTTTGATAGTGAACAAAGGCGTGGGACTACAGGGGCCAAGCAGGGCTTTCTGGGCAACGCAGGGCGGATGATGTCCCCAACATGCTTCACACGCACACACGTGTGCTCACACACATGCACACACACGCACACGCAGAAGGCTGGGACACGGCACCTCGATGCTCGGCGTGGTCCGTGACCAGCCACGGGGCATCCCCCTGGAGCATGTTAACGGGGCGACCCTCCGGGCCCACCCTGACCTCCGGGTCAGCACCGGCACCGTCGTGAGGCCCCCGGGCGTGGGTGTCAGGGTCTGAGAAGCCCACTCGGAAGGCCATGGTGGAGACCCGCGACCCCGCTGGCGCAGGGAAAGGTCCTCAGCGGGTAAATGCAGACCTGCACAGCTCCGCTTTGGTGCCTGGAGGCCCAAAGCTGATGGTGGACGACTGGTGGAGAAACGCAGCCTCGTCCCCCCTCTCCCCAGGCTCAGAAGTCTCCGTGAGGGAAGAGTCGGATAATGACGAGGACCAGAGTGAGGACGGGGACACGGAGGCGTCGCCGACCAAATCCCCAACGACGCCAAAGTCGGTCAAAAGCAAAAATCCCTCAGGTACAGTTGAGCATTCCGGAGCCACGGACGGCTTCCGGGGGACGAGCGGCCCAGGTGGGGAGGGGACGGCAGGTCATGCCGGGCACAGCGAGCGGGCCTCCTCTCCACGAGACACATGACCCGAGTGTCTGCCGCTGTGTTGCAGCCCCCGGGGCCACTGCAGGGCGGGGACAGGGGCTGCTCCTCCCTGTCTGCACGGTCACCCTGACACGGGCAGGCAGGAGGGGCCGGCACTGGTGCGTTCACGGGGGACCCAGGTTCGGGTGTCGGCCAAGCCGTGGGCCGGGTCCTGTCGCGGTCGGGCAGCCTCGTGCATCAAGGTCGTGCCCAGTTACCGGACGAGGGAGCAGAGTCCCCGCAGGTGTGACCGCCCCCGCCCGAGCCTCAAGGACCCACGATCCCGAGGGCCTCCCGTCCCCTGAGGCACTGCCCACGAGGCACTCCCGCCTCGCCTCCCCTCCCACCTCCAGCCCCGCTATGGGGTGAGCCTGAGCCCCGAGCACCCCAACCGTCCGGGCCTCCCCCGAGTCTCGGAGCCGCCGGGTCGTGGATGCCACGGCCCCAGCAGATTCGCCAGAGCGCACATCTCAGAAATAAGCTTTTTGAGTTTTCGAGATAGAGCACGTGCCCCGCAGGGCAGGAGCTCCGTGCTCTGTCCCGAAGACGGGGTGCTGTCCCGAGACCTGGAGGAGTTTCCAGAGTCACGGTTGCTGCTGTCACGGCTAAAACCTGAGCGCCAAGTTTCGCTGGCACACACATAGCATTTCACCCGAAACCACGGACTTGCACACGTTCTCTCCTCTACCCTTGACCGCTGTTTGAAGTAGGGACTATTGGCCTTATTGTCCAGAGATCACTGAGACCCAGAGAGGTTAAGCAGTTCACCGAGGCCACACAGCTGGCAGGGCAAGGACTCAGAGCACGGGGCTCGCCACACCCCACCAGTGAGCCCGTCAGTATGAACGACTGATGTCAGACTTGGGATGGGTGACGCGTTCATCCCAAATAGCCTGCGGTGGTGAGAACGCTCACGACACAGTCCTCCAGCGGCCTGGGCCCTGCTGAGCCTAAGAGGTGACAGAGCAGCAGAGAGGAGGGCCGGGCAGCCGGCGGGGCCTTTCCCATCCCAAGCCGGCCCTGAGGGTGGCCTGCCCCCTCCTCCGGGGATGTCAGCAGCCGGACCCCCACCAGCACCTGCTCGGGGGCAGTGAAGGCAGCCCGCCCATCCCGAGGCTGCTCCAGCTGGGGACCCTGGTTTTCCAACCGCCGAGAGCCGGACCGGCAAAGGCTGAGGACTGGCCTTCTTCCCTCCACAGAGTTCCCCCTCTTTTCCTACAACAACGGGGTGGTCATGACCTCGTGTCGGGAACTGGACAACAGCCGCAGTGCCCTGTCCGCGGCCTCTGCCTTTGCCATAGCAACGGCGGGAGCCAACGAGGGCGCCCCAAGCAAGGACAAGTACCGCAGGATGTCCCTGGCCAGCACAGGTGCGTGGGGGCGGCTCTGGGGGCAGCAGTGGCCACCACAGCCCCGGGAGCTGTCCCCCTTTGCCTGTGCGCGGCTCACCGCCCCGGGACCTTGGCTGGTGCCGACCCTCCTGGCTCCCGGCTCCGACGGCCCTGGCTCCGCCCATCTGGCCCCGCCCCCTGGGAGACTTGGCCCCAGTAAAGCCGATGACCGTGGGAACCTGCCCCCCCCACCCTCACGGCACTGCTCCCGTGGCAGAGGTGGAGCGCAGCCGGGAGATCAGAGCTTCCAGCAGCCCAGGCAGAGGTGGGTGTGTGCCCTGTATCCACTGAGACTGCGTGGGCTCCAGTCTAGCTGGCCACAAACCCGGGCGGGTTGTTCGGTGTCTTCCTGCCCCTGCCCCCACACCGTCCACCCACCAGCCACGGAGTGGCCGGCTTAGCCACACGTGGCTGTTGAACCCAGACGAGAGCCAAGCTGTGCATCTCGTCCTCCCGTCCCCTCTGACCCTCCGCCACGCCTGCCACCAGGGTTTCCCCCTGACCAGCGGAACGGAGACAAGGAGTTTGTGATCCGCAGAGCGGCCACCAACCGGGTCCTGAACGTGCTCCGCCACTGGGTCTCCAAACACTCTCAGGTGGGGGAGGGGGGCCCCGGCACTGGCCTCTGCGAGCAGCGGGGAGGGCAGCAAGGACACCAGGGGACGGGGACCTGGGTCGCCCCACCTCTGTCTGCAGCAGGGATACCAAGTGGGTCTGCACCCCAGGGTCCCGGCCCCGGGGTGCAGCCGCCAGGGAAAACGGAGACGGGGCAGAAACACAGCTCGGGCTGGTCAGGGGCCACGACAGGGCAGCGCTAGAGCAGTGGCCAGCGCCGTGGCCCGTCTCCCCCCACAGGACTTTGAGACCAACAATGAGCTCAGAGGCAAGGTGATCAGCTTCCTGGAGGAGGTCATGCACGACCCCGAGCTCCTGACCCAGGAGAGGAAGGCCGCGGCCAACATCATCAGGTAGGGCGGTCGCAGCCCCGGCCGAGCACCGCATGCACGCGGAGGCAGGGGGATGGGGGGCTGGGCGGGCCCTTCCCGGGCGCGGTGGCCTCCGTCCGGTGTGCAGGGGAGCATCCTTGGGCTGCCGGGGGGAGGCACCCGGCTTCTGCATCCAGGCCCCCCGGGGTCCGTGTGTCCTTGCCCCCCTCTCCCGCCAGGCCCGGGATGCCCTTGTGGCAGGAGCCAGGCCGCTCTGCATCCACACCTGCCAAGTCCTGTCTGGTCTGAGCTCCCTTTTACGGCAGCCCCTGGGGGCACCGGGCTGTGAAGTCTTAGTCAAGGTCAAACAGAGTTTTGCCCTCGCCACCCCCCCCCC